ATACAATATTTTGTTGAGTTTATTAAAAATAGCAAAAACAAAAAATATCATTTATATAGTCAGTCATAGTATTACACAGTAGAGTCATTGACGTCTAAAGAAAAAAAGCATTCAAAAAATTAAAATAACAATAATAATGATAATCATTATAATGAAAAATAATAATAATTAGTGAAAAGGCTTTATTTTTTATATAAATATTGTATAGTTTGCTGAGACAATAGACATTGATTATATGAAAAATTATGCGACTATTTTGTCTATTTTTTTATTGGGTATTATTATTATTTGTATTATAATAATGATGAGGAAAATTGTATGACAAATAAAACAACAACAAAATTGTTAGACGTTTTTATATATCATATATAAAAAAACTTATATTGAAAAGCTCTACCCTAACTGATTGATAGGAGGGTATTGTATTGTTGGTGTTATTAATAAAAAATATTTAAAATATGCCAACAATATAGTCTTTCCGTGCCTTTGACTCCGACTAATTATGGGCACATACCTAATAACACCAAGGTTATACTAAATACAATAATCTAGGCACAGGTAGGCATTCACACAAACACAAATATATATATTGTGATATATATTTGTCTAAAGTTTAGACTCTAAACAATATTACAATATTGTAATTAATAAAATTAAAAGAAATCATTATAAAGAAATTAGGGACGATTCACATATTACGTAAGAAATCTAGACCCCCTCACTCCCTTATGTTCGCAATTGTTCGCATGTAGTCAATTTAAAGATTACATTCGCATGTCCATAATCGCTACCCCTCCCCAACCACCACTAAGAAATAAAATATCTAAATGCGAACGTTCTTAAGGTTCCCTCCCTTAAGGTCCTACCCCTCCCCTTTCGTTCGCAAAATTTCACTTTGGCCRACCCTCCCCTCAAGAGCGAACGTAATATGTGAATCATCCCTAATAATAAATAAAATAAATTTATTATAATGACGATATTATTTAAATTAAACTTTAATAAATTTAATTATGCTTTTATATCATTAAATTAATATACATAATTATAATGCTTTTATATTATATACAGTATATATATATATATATATAATTTTTTATATATTTGTAATATTTATATGCGATTTCATTTTTGTAAAAAATAAGATTTAGATTATGTGTGCAAAATAAACAATGAAAACAATTTGTTTCAAAATGCAATGCTTTTACGATTTATACAAAATAATTTTTTTTATATTTTATTTTTTATTTTCAATTAATCTAATGGTTATGACTATAGTTTTTAAAATAATGTGTGTGTTATAAAAATATTTTAATGTGGACATTAAATTTATTAAAATTAAAATATAAAGTAAAATAAATGAAATTATAAACAAGTATTAACAAGCACAAACATGAAATATATTTACACTTATAATTTAAAATGTAATTATTAAAAAATATTTATCTTTATGATACTAAAATTATGTTTTTAAACATATGGCATATATCGAGATATACTTGTGCCCAAATATGTTATAGATTTTCAAGAAAATAAATAAAATTATTATATTAAATATATATATTATTTGGGCATAAAATTTGATTAAATTTAATCATAAGTTGACAAATAGATTCATTGCAATTGTGATACCACTTGAATTTATAAAAGCATTTTTTGAGAATGTATTATATGTTTGTTTGAAATGTTTGTGTATAATGTAAGTGAGTAATAGTATAAATTATATATATATATATATATATATAGAGAGAGAGAGAGAGAGAGAGAGAGAGAGAGAGAGAGAGAGAGAGAGAGAGAGAGAGAGAGAGAGAGAGAGAGAGAGACTACTATTTAAAAAGTTTTCAAAAATAATATTCAGATTTAAGGCACGTATTTAAGTTAAAACATTTGTCTTTAAGATATCGTATCATTTGATATAAAAGTTTGTTTTAAAGTGTTTTTATTTTTATTATTTGTTGCTCAAAAAATAAACACATTTTGTTTAATTTTCAAAAATTATTATATTTATTTATTTTACATATATTAACCAGTTGAGAATGCTAGAAAGCATTTCCACACGAATTCCTAATCATAATTAAAAATTAAATTCAGTATGATAAAATAAAATCAACTATAGTTATGTAGGGTATCAAACGATTTAGTATGACAAAATAAACAACTATAGTCATGTGGGGTATCAAATGATTCAGTATTACAAAATAAACTACTATTTTCCTAAAAAATAAACTTAAAAACGAAAAAAATAAAAAATCAATATTCAAAAAAATTCAAAAAAAAAATTCAAAAAAAAATTCAAAAAAAAAAATTCAAAATTTTTTTAATTAATTTTTGGACACCATTTTCTTCAATTTCCTAAAAAATAAACTTAAATAAGAAAAAAAACAAAAAAAAATTCAAAAAAAATTTGTAGCGGATAGTGGATTCGAACCTATGTCCTCGTGGGACAGACAGACCGACAGACAGACAGACAGACAGACCGACAGACAGACAGACTTATAGAATGCATATACGTATTCCTTTCAGGAATTCGTGAAAATATGTCTTACCATTTAAAGTTTGCTTTTATAATCTTTATTAGTAATAACTATATTGCATATTATTTTTAAAAAAAATAAAATGTTATTCATATTATATTTTTTTTATTATTATCTTTGTATAAAAATAATTATTTAATTTATTTAGAAAAATAATTTTTATATAAACTGATTATCATTGATATCCATTAAATGATATCAATTATATATGACAACAATTTTTTATATATAAATTAATAATTATTTTTATATAAAATAAATTTTTTAGTATAGTATAATCATTATATATATACTGTATATATAAATATTATCACACACACAAACTTTTAAAAATATAAATATCAGTAATATTTATAAAAAAATACCAATAAATAACAGGTACTGATTTATTATCCAATTATTTAATTGATGACACTTGCAATTGAAAACAGTTTATCTATCTATTGAACACTTAATTCATTAAATAAATTAATCAGTCAATTGCTATCGCTTTTTAATAATAATAATAAAAAAAATTTAAAAACAGTGATAGCAATCAATTTTGTTGTCACTTTAGAAAAATGAAATACCAAAATAATACACATGTAATACACTTATACTACCTGTATATATATGTATATTTTTATATAGTTATTTATATTTATAAAAAAATGTTTTTGTATGTGTAGTACCACAATAATCATTGCAACAAAAATTTATTTTTATTTGATCATTATTTTATTATTGTTTTTGTGGCAATACATTTACATAATCACCAGTTACTGTCCAAAATAATCTTTATTTATTATTTTGAAACATATATATATATATATATATATCTTTATACATGTATATGTAATTTATTATGTTTTTCTTTATTAATTAAAAATAATTGACAACAAATAACTCAATACTTATTTTTTTGGGGACACATTAGGGGGTTTACTTAGAGAAAAAATTGTTGAATGAATTTTTATTTAAGCAATATATATATATATATATATATTTATATACAAAAAATATATATCTATAATTAATTTGAAATCACTGTTTTGTCATGTATTTTATCATTTTTTATTATTTGATAAGATTTATGGCTAATCTATCATTTTATTTTATTTCGTAATAGTTAGCAAATCTTTTTTTTTGCCACAAATCTTCTAATCAATTCTAAAATAATAATAATAATAATAAAACTATAACTTATATGTTTTTAAAGATTAAATGTAATTTTTCAGAGTTAAAAACATAGCAATGAATTTGTTATGTAAATTTGTAAATTTAATTTACTAATGATTTAGACAAATAAATATATTGTACATACAGTACACATAGAGTTAATAAATAATTGTATTTTTAAAAGTTTTGTAATACTTATGTACATTTTGTATAAATACATTAAAACATTTATAATAAAAATTAGTTTTCAAATTTATTTATAAAGTTTAATAAAGCAAAAAATATATGATTGATTGAAAATCTAGTATTAAAAATAATAGTAATCTATGTATTAATATGGAAATATTTTTGAAATTATTTTATTAAAAATAGTAATATTTATAAAAATTATTTAACACAGCAAGAAATTAGTTAACAAAAGTAATAAATATTTTAAATTATAAGAAAAAAAGTTATTAATATCAGTGTTAAACACACATTTGAAACATTAAAATATCTAAATGTTTTTTGCTTTCAAATAAAACACAAATTAAAAATTTGTTTTATTTTCTGTTTGAGTATCAAATATTTTATGTCACAAAACAAAATAAATAACTAAAAGTTAAACAAATTTTTGCATATTATAAAATCAAGATAATAGTCAATGATATTTTGTGTGTGTGTGTGTGTGTGTGTTATAGTTTGTTTTAATCTACATATTAGTGTAAAGATATATCTTAGGACAGGTATGATATGGCGTGTGGTGTTGTTTTAAGCTGTGTTAAGGTTTGTATATAATATTATTTAAGAGACAGACAGAGAGAAAGAGAGAGAGAGAGAGAGAGAGAGAGAGAGAGAGAGAGAGAGAGAGAGAGAGAGAGAGAGAGGACAGATATTTTTTGGTTAATTTATTTTTTTGTTTTGTTTCTCCAAATAAAAAAAATATATATATTTTATTTTTGGGGTTAAAATGAATTATTTAATGTTTCAAACCATATAATGTCTGTTTAGAAAAAAATGTTATTTTTGTGTAATTTTTTCTCCTGAAAGTTAACACCAATGTCTTCAACCACACAGTGATATATAATATAATATAAAAATTTTTAATTAGATTTTTGTTTATTTGTTTATTTTACTGGAAAACACAAGTCAGATATTTTCATAAATTTTATTTTTGTGTCACATTTAGATTGCATTTGTTTTATTATAAAATGGTTACTTTATAACAATATTTTTAATGCCAAAAGAAAAATATTTATTTATTAATTAATTAACAAATAATATTTTTTATTTAAATAATTTTCTTATATAAAAAATAAAACTAGTGATACATTAATTTCTGTCAATTTGTTGGGCATATTGTGAATCAATTGAATCGATGGGAAACCACGGATGTCGACACACATTATCAATATCTATACGCTTTTTAGGAATTGGCTCCAGAAGCTGATGTATGAGATTCTTGAGGTCTTCAGTGATTACATTAGTGACTTCATTACGGAGTTTGTACTGTCGTTTAAGCTGTTGGTCATACATTTTGCGGCGATCTTTCTTCTCAAACGGATAGTCCTTATTAATCATAATATAGAGACTGACGCCCAGACACCAGACATCAGCTTTGAACGGATCGTAATGTCTTTTGTTGACAATTTCTGGCGGATTATGAGACGGAGTACCGCAATAGGTGTTGGACAGGTCGACAATATTGTCGCGACCAATGTTCACAAATCGGCTAAAACCGAAATCCGTGAGCACAGGGTTCCAGTGTTTGTCAAGCAATATGTTGTCCAGTTTGATGTCGCGATGGGCCACCCGATGCTGATGAAGATATCTGACTGCTCTGGCAATCGGACAGAACCAACATTTTGCCTGCCATTCGCTGATACCATCGTTATGGCGTACATACGACCCGATCGTACCGTTCGGCATAAAGTCCATCATTATGTAGACCTTATGTTTGGTACGGAACAGATCGACAATAGTAATACAGTTGCAGTGCTTCAGGTTTTTCAATATAGATATCTCTCGTTTGGAGTCGTCGTCCATTTTGCCGTCTTTGGTCTGATTGTCGACTTTAATCACTTTACAGGCGTATTGTATATCATTTTTGCTGGTCTTATACACATTTCCCTGACCTCCGGAATCCAATTTTGCAAAGTTTTTATAACCTCTCTTTGACAACACTTTGAGTCCCTCATGAGATACACTAATATTACTACTCATTGTCTCATTTATTGATAATAATATACTGTATATTATATCTGTGAATATAGATAACTGTTTATTATAATCATTAAAATTAAAGTATTATTTGAATTGTTAGATTAAATTTATAGATTTATTGTTTTAGCGCGTGCTTTAATGACTCGTGTTTTCTCTCACTATTTTTGAACAATATTTTTTTATTTAAATACACAAACATTACACATTAATAATACAAAAATAAATTATTTGTAAATCTATAGATGAGAGAAAAGATTAATTAATTAAATTTTTAAATTATTATCAATGTGTCAATTATGAAATTTTGTATGAGTTAGCAAACGCGCCAATTGTTGTCTATTGATTGTTGAATATAATTGTATTATAATTTTTGATTTTGTATATTTAAAAATTCAAATCTATTTATTATTTGTCAATTAATTGTAGTCAAACTTCTACTTAAATTGTGTAGTAATAGGACAGATATCAAACATTAAACTGTTATATAATTGATTTACATTATATAAACTGATTGAACAGTTAGTGGTGATCATCACTTGACCAACAAAAATGGTATCACAGATCGGTATCATTGCACTCATGTTATCATCGATACTATTTGTGTCCGTTTGTGTCCTATTTATTATTGTGTTATACTTTATGTTGTCAAAGAAGAAGAAGCGATCAAATAAAGTGGTCGTCAAAAAATACAAAACAAAAGTACAAACAGTGGTCATTAATGTGAAGAGTCCATCAAAAAAGAAAGAATTGCCAGAATCAGGTCTATTAGCATATCATGGACCACAAGATCTGGATCTGACAGACAAACAACAACAACAACAACAGCCGACACTTAAATTGTTTGAATTGGACGATGAAGAAGATAGTGGTGACAGTTTGGAGGACAATCAAACCGCTATCAATTTGATGGCCAATGAATGTGATCCCAAATTGCAGACTAAAGAAACTGATGTAAAAATATGCGATGAATGCGGTCATAGTTCGGAACAATGGCCGTGAATTGTTGTCTAACAATCATATATTATATCAATTACTATAATATTATAATCATATTATTTAATCAATAATTTGTTTTATACATATATTTCCATTATTTGTCAAATTTGCTAATTTTCATATCTTTTTAAATTTACTGTAAATATAAATAAATTTTATTTGTTTTTTTAAAATTATAAATTTTGTTAATAAATGTTTTTAAAAATAATAATTTTTTTAACAAATTAGCTATTGAATCGTAAGTACAAACTTATTTATGTTATGTGTGTATATAATGTGTTTATAGAAAACTTTTAAAGAAAAAACTTTTATTAATAAATACTTTTTATTTTGTTTAATTAGTTAATTAACGATATTTTTATGTGATATTTTTTATAGAATTTATATTAAATAGTTTGAAAATAAAGTAATAAATATTTTTTTTATAAACATTAAATTATTTAACATGAAATATAAATTATTTTTTTTATAAATTAGTTTTTTATAATTTATTTTATTAAAAAAGTTTAATAAATGCAACATTTCTATCATTTGTATAATATTTAATATCATAAATTATATAATTAGACCAAATGTTTCAAAATATAGAAATTATAATTATTAAATACTATACATAAACATATTTATTTTTTAAATAAAAATGTAATTTATATAAATTTATATTTTTGTTTCAAATATGCAAATGTATAGATTTAATATTATAAAACATAAAAATTTAAATTAAGTTTAACTTATCATATATATAATACAGTAAATGAATACTTATATATAAAAAAATATATGTGTTTTATATTATATTTTTTTCATGGATTAAAAAGAGATGAAAATGTTTTTATTWTTATTTTTGTTATGAAAATAAAATAAATATCTATTAACACACACACACACACACACACACACACACACACACACACACAMACACACACACCTTGTGATATCTATCCAGACAAACAAACAAAAAATAAATCAAAAATATTTTATTATAATCCGCTAAAAATTAATAATAAAAAGTATCATTGATAAGGGACAGGGATTTAGAATTTTTGTGTCTAAAACTAAAATAAAAACTATTTTAAATTTTATCAAAATTAAAAAATAATATATTTATTTTTTCTATTTAGTCTAACTTTATTTTAATATATAAAACAACTACAGAATAAATATATTTACAGTATTTAAATATTTATGTGTCTTATTTGAAACAAAATAACAAAACAAAACCAAAAATAATTTTCAATAATAAAAATTCTGGTCCAATAATATATCCGGGTTTGTCTTTATGGGGTTTAAGCAAACAACACTGGTATGTGGACACTGGTATGTCTCATACATATGATGTTCACACTGTTATCAAACCCATCATCAGACAAGATAGCAAACAAAATAAATAAACTTTGCATAACATTTAATTATCACTATAATAGATCACAACAAATTTATTTTTTTTACAAGACATGTAAATAATAATAATAATAATTAAGATTAAAATTTTATAATTTTTAAATAAATTAACTAACATATTTAATATTATATTATACAATATGCTATGATAAATACTTGCTAAATAAAATGTACAGTAAATTTAATGCAATTGTTTAATTGTTGATAAATACAGGTATGAAATTGATTGCTGATATGAAATAGTTAACTATTTTTTATAATTATTAATATTATTATTCGATAATATTTTTCATATATATTTTTGTTTTCCATTTATTACAATTATTATCAAATTTTGAAAATAAAAAAATTGATAAAACAATGTTAACTTACTATTTAATAATAAATTATTTATCTTTATAAAAATTTAATTAAAATATAGTGCTAATATTATTAGATAACTATATTTCTATAGTTTAATTTATAAATGTTTTTAAAAATAATGCTGTTATATCAATTGAAAAAACACAAACTATAAAACTTTGTGAAACTGTTTTTATATTATTTAATTTTGTGTTTATCTGATTTATGACTTGTGTTTTTAAAACATATTTTTTCTGTGATCATTAGATTTTATATTATGATTACATTATTAAAAAACAATTAATATATCTATTTATACCTTGTATTTAATGGAGAATATTTTATGGGCAGATGTTTTAAATATATTTAAATTTTTTGTTGTATAGCTTTTTATGATAAATACTGTATAAAGTGTTTTAAAAAAGATTGCGACAGAGATTTTGAAGATTGAAAACCAAAAGTTGACTTATTTTTATTGATGACTGTCTCGGCCGGACATATAATAATAAAAAACAATGAACTTATTCTGTATAACAATAACATACAATCACCTTAGCTCAGGGCTCTTCAATTTACTACCTAAGCTTACAGTACTCTCTATTATTGATAGAAATGTCTAATAATTAGGTATTTTCCTCTACACACACACACACACACACAAACACATAGATAGATACATACATTGATGATGACTTGCTATGCTATCAACAGTATAAATGAATGAATGAATAGTTAAATGTATTTAAATTCAAATAATAGTATTATTATTATTATTGTAATAAAAACTAGTCGTTTGTCTCCTTAACTAACTATTGGTGTCTCAGATATTAATGTATGGTTTGCCACCAAAAACAACAAACACGAGAGGCGTTTGTCTATACAATTGAAATCACAGTTAAAAAATAAAAGCCATGTTTTTTATAAACAACCTCTCAGGCGATGGCTTTTAATTTGCAATTTAAATGATTATACACTTTGGGTCCTCAGATAAAATAAAACTAAAGAAAAATGTTTTCAAAAACAAATGGTTTTAATAGTCATATAATAGCTATTTTATTGACTAATTATTATGAAAATTATTATGATATTGATATTTAGTGGTTAAAAAAATCTGCTAGTTGATTATACGCATGAAAATATGCATACAAATAATTATTATGCTTTAGTTATAATTTTAGTTATTTATATTATTTTGCTTTTATTTTTTGTTTTAAATAAATAAGCATTAAATCAATTTTTAGCAAATAATAAAAATTGTTTATATAATTTAATTTTTTTTGTTGACAAAAATGCTTTTATACAGACATAAATGCATTTTATTACTCAAACGTAAAATTTCATATTATATGATATTATAATTTTTTAAAATGAAATTTTTGTGTTTTTGTTTTTTTGAAACTTAATTTTTATTTTAATTTAATGTATTTTTTGTTTTGAATACACATCTGCCTATCTATTGATGTGTATGTATGTGTATGTCTTTATGTATATATTATAGTGTATAACCTATATGTATAACTATGTGTATAACTTACAAGACATCCTGAAAAGGATATTTTTTTTAAAAACCATTGAAAATAAAGTCCATATAATTACTTCATTAATACCTCTTGTTATAAGTCCTAATGATTTAATATCAGTTGAAATTATTGGCTCTAATTTCATAACCTCAGGGGTCACACATGTCTTTAAGGGCAGAGGAGAGCATTAAAAAAATATAATTACATTTTAATAAACTTCTTTGAATAACACTTTTGATTATTTTTGAAATTGAATTGATAACACCATTTGATTTGGTTGTTTTTTATCAGATATATTAATATCAATTGATGATAGCATAATACAATTGGACAGTCAATAGTTAGTTAATTATAACATTGAAAAACATGTGTAAATTTATTGATATTTATCGATATCTTGTATTATGAAATATAAATACATCTGCCATACAATAATTATTGTCGTATTTATTATAATATTAATATCAAATGATAATAATTAATCTTTATTTAAAATTTTGTGACAAGGCTATTTATATAATTATATAATGTTATTTATAAAATAATTTTTAAAAATGTTGACATTAAAAACTAGTAATAGGTGTGAGTTTTAAAAACTAAAATTAAAAATCAGATTAAAAATATCATTTTTCATTTTCTGTTACTATTTTTTTTAATAAATGAAAAACAGACACAATAACAACTATTATTGTAATTTATATTAAAAATTTAATTTTGAAATATATCAATTATACAGTATATTTTAAATAAAAAAAACTAGATATAAATTCAAACTTGTAATACTAATAAAATAATTATTATTAC